TTACATTCTTATATTTTATTTTATTAACTAATTTTTATTTATTTTACTTTCCACCACCGAATCGGTAAGTGGCTGCTGTAATCCCTCAATAACTTCACGAATACAATATTTGAGGTCTTGAATCGACGTTAGCCTGCTGGCGCAAGCTGTCACCTCATCGAGAGAGAACACGTTCTGACAACAAAAATGAATACTATCCAATTCCAGCCATAAAAAAACATTAATCATAATTCGATAATGCATTATATTCATCGGAACTGTTGATCCAGCCACATTTTCGATAAAGTAAGTCCTAATGCCGAGCCAAAAAATTGCACCAGGTCCCTATGCGAAAAACGGTTCAATGAACGACGAGGAATAGACGAACCGTGGAATTCTTCAAAGTTTTTGGCTACAGCAGCAATATTCTCAGCAGTTCTTGAACGGCATATCTATTTTTTTCACCAATTTCTGTATTGAGGTCCGAAAAGGGGCTTCACGACGAACGAAAAATATTTTCGGTTTACGAAGTTCTACCACTGGCGTAGTCGCTAGCATCATAAGTGACATCTGCCGAAATAAAATGCAAACCCTTTACATGCACTCAGCACACTATAAAGATGATTTCTTCCGTTTTCCCAAAAAAAAACTTCAAAAATGGCAAAATTGCGCGTGAAAAAATCTCCACACATTTATTCGTTTTTGCGTATATATTTGTAATGAAAGTTCCTCTGCCTCGTTGATGTTGTATTTTCAATAAGAGCACGCTATTTTCCCTCTACCTTTCTTTTAGGTATGTATAATTTTACCGTTATGCACACATATATTGGACATGCAACAGTTGCCTTTGTTTTTCCGGCTTTGTGAAAAAAGAATGAATTAAAAATCCTTATAGTAAATATTGCGTATTACGTACACCTCTTGGTATATGCTAAAATTTCAAATGCACACACATATATAGGAATATGTATATATGTATGTATGGTTCATTTCAAAGAAGCAGCAAAAACTACGTTTATGAATATTGCAAAAACCAGTCATACGGAAAAATACAGAGCATGACTTTCTGCCTTTGAGCAAAGTATCTTTTACCTTCCTTTTCTTATTTTCCACTTCGCCTTTACGCCGATTACATCCACATCCCACTGTAATACATACAAACCTACAGCTGGGCAAGCAATTAGTAAAAACTATTTTTATACGATTTAACACACACATATACATAGAAAGAAAAATTCAGGCATTTGTATTTGTCACTTCCTTGCAACAAAAAATTGAGGATAATTCTCTATTCGACTGTGGTGAGTTTCCTTTCTCTGAGCGCCTGAAACAATATAGTGAGAATTAAGAGAAAAAAGCTTAAGAATAGCCTGGCAAATCAAATATTTATGTATAATGAGTATTGTATTGTTTAACAAACTTGACAGTAAACTTTTCTGTTTCAATTTAAGCTCCAGCACTTGGTTTTGGCTTTAGGTAATCGGTACAACAACTAAAAGCAATAAGCTTTCAGCTGATACAACAGTCAGTTGAAACTTTCACTTTAGTAACTTCCCATACTTTTAACCGGATGTAGCAGCGCAGAATATTTGCATATTAAAATGTTTATAAAATTTACTAAACTTCGTTTCGACTTTATTTTGATTCTGAAAAGCTTTAAAGAGAATAGTAATTTATTGGCTTCAAGATTTTTTGCAGGTTTTTTTTTTTATTTTGCATTTCTTTAATGGTTTAGAGATTTGATATTGTTTCTTAAATATTTTTAATTTGCTAACAACATTAGAATAATTGACTTTACTCTCATAAAATTGAATAAAACTTTTTTTGAGAGCTGGCAATACTGCAAAAAACTAATGCTCATGCAATTAATGATTTTGGTTGACATCCAAGTAGCTGGACTGTTAAGGCAAAAGGCACGCTTACTGAATCAAACTTCTTCTTCGTCTGCTTTTTCTTTTTCTTCTTCTCCTTCATTTCTTTTATTGGCGTAATTATAACAGAATCAACAACTACTCCACCTGTTCTTCGTCTGCTTTCACCAGCGAATTTACCTTTCAATTGCCTACTCTGTTCGAAAAAGCACCTGGTGGCAAAAGTGGGTCTGAGTTGAATCTCAAAGCTGACAGTGTTATTGGAGTTGATAATGGTTCCAAGAAATTATGGAGGACATCAAAATTATGAGTGCAAATAATGACGTTCGAGCCTGGCGCGAGTACGTAGACTTTTCGTTCGATGACAGTAAATATTTCGTCGTGGCTTGATTCCATACCACACCCATCTATCCTTAATCAGCGGTTGATAAGACCAATTAAATCATTATCATCGCCATACACCAGGAGTTGTACGCTCTTATAAAATATGACCCCTCTGTCATTTATTTGCCGAGCTTATATTTTTGTATTCAGCAGTAGGTTGAAAAAGTCACCAAATAGAGGCTCTGAAATCCCATTAGGTACCGAACGGCTCGATGAGGTCCTTCCCAATTTTGACAGAGCTTTCAGAGTTGCCAGTAGCCTCAGCCTACACAAGCGTACAAGTTTTGCGAGGTCAGCTTCTCTCCGGGATAATAAAGCATTAAAATCTTCGAATAGGGTATATCGTTCTCTTCCTCACGGGACTTTGCCAAGACTATCTGCCGTGGTTAATATCTAGTCAATTGGAAATAAGTTAGATCTAAAGTAGCACTGATAGGATCCAATCACTTCGTCGGCAATGGGCTTTAGTCTATCACACAGTACGCTCGATAGGATTACGAAGCGATATATAAAATGCTCATACTTCTATAATCGATGCAGAGTGTGGGATCCACTTTAATTATAGACAAGACTTCCTTTGGATCCGATTAAAGGCGTGCTTTCATTCGTCCGATGATTAATGCATCATGTACCTTGCCTCTAAATAAGACCTCTGCTCCGGCCACGTCTTTTCTTTTTATTATCATCAATTACATAATTACTAAATATCGGGTTTTTCTGTAGCTGAACAGTTGTAAGTTTCGACGCTTAAAAAACGCCTCCCAATCTTGACTCGGCATATTCCGTACGTTATGCATTGTTCGTTTGTAAGACGATTCATGGTTAAATTATAGGCCCAACTGAAGATGTTTGACAGTGATGCAAAACACGAAAGCTGTTTAACCAGTGTTGCCATAAAAATAATAGCTAAAAAATATCCCCCTTTATATATGTCTCAAAAATATTCATTTGTTCATATATTTTGCAGTCAAATGTTTTACACTCGCATGTATGTATGTATAGGAGGAAATCAAATAAATATCTGATGTCATTGCCCTCTTTTCCACAGAGCAATACAGACCGACTATGTAATGATAAATCAAATTAAAAGGGGGATTTTTTTAGATGCGTGGTTTTCAATGAGGCAATATTTTTCTCGAACTTGTCTTTTTGGCATCTGCGATCGGACCTAATTGCCCAGCAGAGTTGGTTATTCGAGCAATCATGGATTGGTTTCGCACCACCTTTACTCTAGTGCATAATTCCAATCCGCAAGATCCGAATCAGTCCATTCGCCATCACGCGCAACCAATGGAGCTGTGCCCATTCTCATTGTAAAAGATAATTGAATTCGAACGACCATGAAGAGCATCGCAAGTTCGGTGAATGAGCCCAAATGCGACGACCAGCGCCGATATTCACAAGAAAATTTTATTCAACGAGGAAAAACGTAATAATAAAAAATTGTCGCATTTGGAGTGCTGATGAGGCATTGACTCTTACATGCTCAAAAAGTCACTGTTGGTACGTTCTTTGTTTAGAGGGAATCATTGGTACATATTTCTTTAAAAATCAAGCCGACCAGTCAAAGGGTAATACTTAAGAGCCATTATTAACGACTTTGCCGTACTTTATTTGGAGAAGTGGATGAGCATGACGATTGGTTCCAGCAAGTTGATACTAAATGCCATATAGCCAATGAAACAATCAATTTATCTGCATTCGTGGCGATGTGGTGTGGCCTCCAAAATTATGGGACTAAACACCGCCAGAGTTTATATTTGAGAGACGTTTGAAGCTTTGGAAGTAAATATTTTAAAAGTTATTGCTATTAAACGATGCAAAAATTGTTCGCAAATGGAGCTGGAATTTATTCGAGTCAGCGGCGGAGGTCACTTGCTCAGAACAATTTTTAAAGCATAATGGCAATCATTTATTTTTATAACAAAGCTAAATTCTTGTTCGTAACATTAAAATAAATTCGTTTTTTTTATTAATACCAATCTAAAAAACACTCCTTCTTGTAAACAAGAAAAGGAAAAATATTATACGTGTGATCACCTTTTTTGAGAACATGATCATCAGGTATGGGAGATGTATGTATGTATAATGAATTTCAAGGTTTTGGATATAGAAAACAACCATTAAGCCGTTAAAACTTGCGACTCCTTCCACAGCTAAGGGAAACATTCCGCTTGATCGTAGCTGGATGAGTAGAAGAACCTATTATTGACACCATGCAAAACTTCGAATCCACATGAGAACAGCCTAAAATGTTGTGATAAGCCACCATTGCATTTTTTAATTAGAACAACTTTCACTTTCAATCAATCGAATTGAATTACCTAAGTCTCGCCCAATGCCTATAAATACAGCACTTTTTTGTATTCGCTTTAGAGCACTTTCTTCCACCACATGTCACGTGCCTAGACAACAATAAATGCCAGCGGAAAAACCACTGAAGAGAACATAACAAAATATCAATGAGTCAACAGTCACATGCCTCCAGCGAGCGCATTCCTGTTATTCATATAAAAACAAACCAGCTGATTTGTCAATATCTTGGTATTTTCCATTATCTACTTTTAGCACTTTCTTAAATTACTTATTTTTATTTAGTCTCGTGTATTGACCAGCTAAATACTATGTAGTATTGACTAAAAATCTATAGTATTGATTGAATTTTCGCGATTTTCTCAATGACCGACTTTTATCGGAACACTAATGTAATTAGTAGCATATACCAAGGCGTTGGGCCAAATTATTTTCAGTTCTTTGCGAATTCTTAAACTCTTAACAACAATATAACGGAAGCTAAATAAAAATAATAAAAATGGATTGTAAAGTATCTGGGAAATACTGAAGAGGATATACAAGAAAGGATATTGGAAAGAGGATATTTTGATAAGGATCAAAAGGGTAAAGGACGCCTGATATACCTCATTTGAATTTGAAGCAAGAGCCTAGTGAAATTCGCAAAATCAAATATAATTATTTTTTAATTAGTGCGCTGCAAAATGATGAGAGCTGAAATATTCTGCAAATGCTTATCGATCGATGAAAAGTCTGTAATTAGTGAAAACCAAGGTCAAAGTTTTTCAAAACTGTAAATTATTTTTTATCGAAGTATTAAAAAAGAGCAAATAACTAGTCAGCCTAAAGGATAATGAAGTTTTTGCTCAACTTCCCGAGGAATTATATTGAGTGGATATGTGGTGATTAAAAAATGTCCTGTGACTGCAGCATCTTTCGTAAACTTTCTCTTGTTCTTCATCAAAGGGATATGTTCAATGGCAACATCAATACTTTCAGGAAGAGTGGGCATATAAATCTTCTGTATTCTATCCTTCCGAAAGTAAAATGCATATAACCCCCTTCTACTATTTCACCGTCGTAGTGGCGGGTACTACATTGAATACTCTCAAAGCTGGAACATTCTTATTCATCCGGACTACACGACTTGGCTAGCGTAGCCATTGTCTGCTGATTCGGTGAACTATATAAATGTCGACGTATATCTCGAACGAAAACTCCTAACGCCGACTCATCAGACGCTGTCATCGTCCATACTTCCGAACCATATAGCAGGACGGGTACGATGAAGGACTTGCAGAGTTTGGTTTTCATTTGTCAAGAGCGGTCTTTTTAATTGCCTATTCAGTTCAAAGTAGCACGTGTGAGCAAGGGTGATTCTGCGCTGGACTTCCAGGCTGATATTTTTATTGCTGTTAACACTGGTTCCAAGATAGACGAAACTATCTACGACCTCAAAGTTATGGCTACCAACAGTGACATGGAGGCCGAGTCGCAAATGTGATGTCTGTTTGTTTGACAGGAGATATTTCGTCTTGCCTTCGTTCACTACCAAACCCATATCCTTCGCTTGCTTTTGCAGCCTGAAGTAAGCAGAACTCATGACGTCATTATAACATATCTCTATTCACTTCTGCAAATTGAAATATTTTTTTCAGCGTAAGATTGAAGAAGTCACTCGATACAGAAGAGTATTGTGAGCAAAGAATACCAAGAATATTTGTTTAGAATCAAAGAAGTATGATTTATTACACCAAATCGATTTCAACACCTTTAAAATAAATATATATGATTGCTGCTTTGTAACCGCTGAAGCGATTTTTCGGCCGAGCTACTCCTCCAATTTCTAGTCTTGCATCTTGGTGTTTTCCAACAAATGGACTGACCAACCGCTTATTTAGGCCACCTCCGAACGGCTGATGGTTTTTTTATGAGGAGGTTTTTATTTCATGTCAGAAATACACTCGGAGGGGTTGACATTCCCTGCCAAGGGGCGAACACAATTAGAAAAAAATTTGACAAAATATTTAAATTCATTTTCTATAACTTTTAGATGTTGCTGGTACCATTATTTGAATCCGAGCCTTCTGAATGGCAGTACGCAATGCTAAAAACTCCTGCTGTAACCGGCCGCTAAATATACCCTACCAAATTAATGAACTTGTAGGCTTTCTCCAATCTTTTTGGCATGCCATGAAGCACTTTCAGGTATGGCCTTTGAAACCCAAGGTAATTCATGTTTTTTCGGTATCGGCTTGCCTTTAGCTCGAAATTTGCTTTATTGATCGGGCATGTCCATATCGTAAGCATAGATCCAAGTCTCAAAGCATTGTCTCAATAACTTCAACGCTTCGCTGTTTCTCTATGAAATTCACCGATTGCGATTTCACTTTTCTGGGACTCAAATTGACCTTTTTACTGATCCCATCGATATTCCAACAAGGTCAGTAAAGTCGCGGACTGTCAATCGACGAATATGAAGCACTGCTTCTTTGATTTACTGATTTTTTTCTGCTCGGCACTTTAACGAAGATGGTCGTCCTAAACGTGCCTCGTCTTCAAAGCTTCGTCATATTTGGTACCACTCATAAATTCTAGTTTTCGATGTACAATATGTTGCTCACCGATGGCCTTCTGCAAGATTTTCAATGTTTCGGCACTAGAAATTTTTTTTATACACGAAATTAAAGCGATAATTTTTGTAAGCTACAACAACAATCATAGCTCAAACACTGTATATTTTGTATATGGATTTTGGATCCCTTGGCCCATACTAGCATGTAGATAAGCTACTCTTCTAAAATTCGGAAATAAAACAAAGTTCAATTCAATTTATTTGAAATGTCTAATCTGTTAAACACATTTCGTTACTTACACTTGTCGATCTAAAAAGATTATTCATGAACATCGTTCTCGCATTCCTGTACTTAAGGCAGGGGAGAGTTAAAGTTAGGTTCGCCATAGTCTTTCCGCTTCCTGCAGTTGCAAAAAAAACCCTTTCTCACTCTCATGTGTATGGTTTTTGAGACATCGGCCACCTTATTGTAGAAGAAGCGGTATTCGCCATTTCCAATGCGCAAAGTACAGTAAATCTTCCGCAAAGCTTTACTCTCGAAGACTCCCTAAACCAACTCAACGTCAACATCCTCCACGATTCGATTCCTGACATTGTTTGGTATTTTTGCTCATGGTTCTTTGATTAATGGAACCATCTTCAGATGTATATTTTGAGCTCAATACGCTCGATAAGACCTCACTGAGAAAGACAATCCCACAATATTTGCCGTAGGCTATGTGTTCTTCCTTTTTATAGATTGAGCAGATCCCTCTAAGGAGACAATCGTTGAGCATGCTTTCGTCCGATCATATTCTGCAAAGTAGCTGATTCATGAGCCTTGTTAGCTCCTTACCGCTATGTTTAAATAGCTCAGTCGTCAAGCAATCAATTCCCATCGGTATGTTATTATTTATGGGGTAATCACTATTTGAGCATCGGGTATTGGAACTTCATTTTCAAAATTACCGGTTGGGTACTCGGATCACGATCTCCAGTAGTTTTTCTTTCACAAAATAAACTCATTATGCCCAGCACATCGGTCACTAGTATATCTTTTTAGTTCCCAGATAAGCATGCTCCGGTCTCTAAACCTTCTGTAAGTCGCTGCATTCTCTTAAGAATTCTAGAGCATCACCCTCGTCGGTCAGCTTCCCCAGTTCTCTATATTCACGCTTTACAGCTTCTCTTTTTTTGGTCTGCGAATGGGTCTTGCTTTCATCTTCGGCTCTGATATCGATTTCAACCCTCAGATATCGCGATCGATTGCAGCGTTGCCAGATAGTCAGTTAGTTTTGAGTGATTTGTCTTTTTAACTATATTGTTTTATTTGATTATTTTATTATTTTTTATTAAATTTTTAAATTTTGCAGATTAAAAAAATAAAAAAAAATCCATATATTTTATCAAGCAAAAATAAATTTTCGATTGAGTGCATGAACGAAGCAAAATGTCTGGAAAAAAGAGCGGCAGTGCTGACGATGACCCCGAGCAGGGTGAGCCCACCTATAACATCTCAATGGGTGAGGAATATATGCTAAATGAGATTGAAAAGAATTTCATCTTAGCAGCAGAGCGTGGTGACATACAGGGTGTGAAGAAGTAAGTTGACTACATAATATTAAAAAAATAAAAATGCAAAAAAATTTAAAAATTTAATTTATTTTTTCCCCTACAACTACAACTTCAAGAATAATCGAAGACAACATGGGACAGCCGGATAAATTTAATCTGAATTGCGTCGATCCGCTCAATCGTTCCGCACTCATCTCCGCCATTGAGAATGAGAATTTCGATTTGATTGTCGTGCTGCTGGAGTGTGGCATTGAGGTGGGCGATGCGCTGTTGCACGCCATATCCGAGGAGTATGTGGAAGCGGTGGAGGAGTTGTTGCAATGGGAGGAGACACATCACAAAGAGGGTCAACCCTATGTAAGTGACATCTAAGTACAGAAATTGCTATGTAAATATACAAATAAATACAGAAATGTGCGCCAGAGCAATCGCACTTTGCAATATTAAACATATTTTTCATGTGAAAATATATATATGCACGTATATATTTACATATTTAAATAACAATTTTTACTAATTACAGAGCTGGGAATCTGTTGACCGTTCTAAGTCGACATTTACGCCGGACATCACGCCACTCATTTTGGCAGCGCATCGCAATAATTATGAAATACTTAAAATTCTATTGGATCGTGGTGCAACATTACCGATGCCGCATGACGTCAAGTGAGTATCTAATGCTATAATAAATGAACGAATACGTACATATATACATATATGCATTTCGAAGAGTAAATTAGCATTGGAAGGCAGATACCTGTAATCCATTCGTAACTCGGCAGCCGGTTGTCAGTAGCCAAATGTATATTAGTCGGTACTACCGTTATTTTACGAATTTGTTTATGTACGTTGACCCACTTGTATCTGGGAATTGTGACACTGCTTAATTTCAACTTGCGGCACAGTGGGCAGTTACACACTAAATATGATATAAATGTCGCACAGTTCACCGTATAGTTGGTTGGTTGGCTGAAGAGGCAGGTTGAAGTAGACTCATTGTGCTTCCCCGCATAACATAATTTTTTCCAACGACTTAAGGATTTAGGATTTGGGCGCGCCGTGAAAGATGTGTCGTCTCAATTGGCTGAAGACCTCCAACCTATTTGACTTTACTTAGCTTGCGTAGATGCTATCTCAGGTCACGGCAATACATTTTGTGGATACTAAGTTTTCGTTAGTTAAAGTTGGTAAAGGGTGATGAAATTGAAACACTATTAAAAGTCCAAAACAGGTCTCGACTTCATCACTTGGCACATATACTGCTCTATGATTTTCCTCCGAACTAATTTTCCAACAGCTTTTATTTAGAGCTTTTATCAAAGAGTTCGATAAGATGCCTCTTTTAGGCTAAATTGGTTTTACCTTTTCCGAAATTCCTTGTTTCCATTTTTTTTTTTTCAAAAACTGCCAAAACGTCCCACAGTGAAGCACTCTCATAGGCGTGTACACGAGCGCCACTATCAATTGACGACTGATTGTAACTGTTAGTATTTTGTTGTACTAGTTGTGTTGTTCTTGTTGTATATAGTTCTTATAGCCGAAATTAGTCGCATTCGGCACGTTTCCTTATTTGTGCTTGGTGTCGCCGTACGAATAATCAACAGGCGTCCGTTCCCACCCAGCACCGACGAACATTAACTCTGTAGGTTGATATTTACGAGATTTTGTATGAGTTTGCATTACTTTTGCACAATGGATGGTATTGGTACTGCCGTTGTTACCACTGCTGTTTCTATTTGCTTGTATCTTGTCGTCATCTGTTTGGTGTTGCATGCCACAAAACATGACGTGGAAATAATAATTTGAATTTTTGTGCGCTGACACCGCAAATTGTGGCTTCAGGTTTTAGTGTTTGCTGTAGGTGAGTGTTGTGTTTTGGGATTGTGTGCCTGGTATATACATTCAAGAAGGTATAGAGCATACAGAATCCTTTGGAAGTTGACCCAAATTAAAATCAGATCTCTCGTAATGATTTGGTGATTGTAGAACTAAGATTTATGACATCTTTAATCGTTTGTAGATCCTTTCAGCCGTCTCTTAATTTAGTCAAAAACGTATGAAAAAGACTCCTCAAAAAGCCAAAGTTTGCATTATGATTTCCCGTTCTGGAACATACCTTTGTGCTTCGACTTCGAAGAAGCAGGTAAGCAAATGAGGTAAAGATTACAACAGTAACTTTGTCAGTCTTTTCTTGATGCCACACCTTCCTATGTATGTAGGTATGATCAGAAATAAAAGCTTGTCAGAAAGTTACACTGACCCTCCGGATCGGGAAAAAGACATAAGAAAACAGTAATAGGTCGCAGAAGAAGCTTAGTAATTTTTGTAATAAATCATTACGTTCGTGCTCCGAGCGAAGCTTTGGTATGCCTGGTATATTTCAGGTTAACCAACGTTTCTTGAAGGTTGGCGCCAAATAGAGGCACAAAGTTATTCTTCAATAGATTTGACGTATCCTACTTCTGCGTCCACCTCTTCGAAAACTGCTTTCATTATTCGGACCGCATTGCCATGGTCAACGTAGTCACCCTACCTTAATCTATAGAACTATATCAATTTCGCCATTTGAAATGTATTCGTTACGACTTCAAGAGTTTTACCTTTTTTCATCGTCTGAGCTGTTGTCTGACGTAAATCGGTCTCAAGGTCAGTCGTTTATTCCGGAACGAATAAAATAAGTATTTAGTAAATTTGTTCAATCGAGTTGTCATCTCGGAAAATTTTAATATTCAAATTTATCAAGCCGCATAAAAATAAGAAGAAGACACCGATAAAAATAGGAAGAAGACACCGAGTTCTTCAAGGACTATCCACACAGCATTTCTACTCCTCTTTTTGTCTAAATCGACAATAAAAATTGATGTGCAATCTTCCAAAATCAGAGGTTAGTAAGAATATTCAACATCCTATCCTATAGGTTTAGTCCGGAAAGAATATTACAAGCCAATTAAATCAAGATAGGAATTAGTTATCAGTTGGACCTCACTGTGTCCTATCAGAATCACATCGCTATCCGCAGTTGTCAACCTCTATGAAGGCATTCTAAAATATTTTTCGGGCAATAATCTAGCCGATAAACATTTCTACTAGGAGTCTTTCTCAGTCATTCATCAATACTCATCATACGTAGACTTTCCCTAGTTCGTCTTTACGCTACTTTGATGGTTAGTTTGATGGTTAATTCTCAATTTGTATTAACGAGAATTATCTCTTCTCAGTACGGCACGCTTTGCTAATCTCGTTCCTCTCTAAAATTTGTGTCCCGTGGAATGAGTTAAACATTAGAGCTGACTAACAGAATTCTAAGAGATTTTTTTCAAATTTTTCTGTAATTAACGAGGTGAAGAGAGAGAAAAAGCTAATGGTCATGTTGTTGATTGGCCTCAAAGACATTTGTAAAAAGTTATCAACTTACTCGTAGTTAAACGCTGTCAGCAACACCAATAATTTTCAATCTTCTTGTCTGTTTCATCTTCTCTCCCGCAGATGTGGTTGCGACGAGTGTGTCACCTCTCAAGAAACCGATTCACTGCGGCACTCACAATCGCGTATAAATGCATACCGAGCTCTTTCCGCCAGCTCGCTAATTGCACTCAGCTCACGAGATCCCGTACTGACAGCCTTCGAACTCTCTTGGGAATTAAAACGACTACAAGCGATGGAATCTGAGTTCAGAGCGGAGTACACGGTAAGAAATGCTGGAGTAACTATAAAAAAGAACGCAAAAAAAATCATTAAAAGAATAATAAAAAATATGGCTGATATGAACACCGCAAATAAAGTTGATAAAAAGCCAAAAGTGAAGAGACAATGAGATTTTCGCTAAAAGCATTTACGTAGTTGATGCTGAAATGATCAAAATTATACATATGTTATACCATTTCATTTACTTTTTTTGATTATTCAATGCGCGCAGGAGATGCGTGTGGGTGTGCAAGAGTTCGTCTCATCATTATTAGATCATGCACGCACTTCAACCGAACTGGAGGTAATGCTCAATTTCAATCATGAGCCCACCACAGACATTTGGATGCCAGGGCAGCGACAGACATTGGAGCGTTTGAAATTGGCCATACGTTATAAACAGAAAGCGGTAAGTGCCCAGCATTAAAGCACTCATTTGCCGCTCGGCTTGTATGAGAGTCGCTTAGTGTGTGCTCTTGGTGTGTGAACAAATCAAATTTGCACATTTCCACTCCATTCATTCTCTCTTCTTCCCTTCCTCTTTCAGTTTGTCGCACATCCAAACGTGCAGCAACTATTGGCGGCCATTTGGTATGAGGGCTTGCCCGGTTTTAGACGTAAGCAAGCCTCTCAGCAGATTATAGAAGTGGTTAAGTTGGGCTGTATGTTTCCCATTAACAGTATGAACTATTTACTGGCGCCCGAGTCGGATGCGGGCAAATTTATGAGAAAGCCATTCGTGAAATTCATCTCACATTCCTGTTCATATATGTTCTTTTTGAGTAAGTGGTAGATGATGAGAGTTATTGAAATTAAAAGAAATAAATTTAAAATTCTTCAATATTATAGTGCTTTTGGGCGCTGCATCGCTGCGTGTGGTGCAACTCTCTTTTGAACTTCTTGCATTTCCCTGGATGTTGGCTATGTTGGAGGATTGGCGAAAGCATGAGCGTGGCTCCCTGCCGGGGCCGATTGAATTGGGCATTATTACCTATATTGCCAGTAAGGAAAATTAAAAAATATTTATAAAATTCAAATAAAAAACCGTGTTTTATACAGGTTTAGTGTTCGGTGAATTGAAATCTCTTTACTCCGATGGTTTATTCGAATACATTATGGATTTATGGAATATTGTCGATTTTGTTTCTAATATGTTTTATGTTACATGGATACTTTGTCGAGCGACAGCGTGGATAATAGTACATGTATGAAGAAGCTTTTTAAAGCACTAATTGTTTTAATAACTTTTGTTAAGAAATTTAAAATGTATTTTGTCATTTTTTTTGATTTATTTAATTTTATATTGTTTTATTTTTTTTTTTAATTTATTTTATTTCATTTTAATTTTATTTATATGTTCTTTATAGTTTATTTTATTATACTCCTTTTTTATTCTATTATATTATATTTTATTTTATTTTAATTTAATTTATTTTATTTTATTTTTTTTATTTTATTTTATTTTATTTTATTTTATTTTATTTTATTTTATTTTATTTTATTTTATTTTATTCTATTTTAATTTATTTTATTTTATTGCAGTTTAATTTCTTTAATTTCTATTTTGATTTTATTTTATATTTCATTGTTTAACATTTCATTACAATGAAAATGTATTATTAATATTAATATAAAAATTTTAAACCCATATATATGTTATCTGCTCCCTTTCAGCGCGATTTATGGTATCGCGGCATCGATCCATATTTTCCACGTGAACACTGGCATCCTTTCGATCCAATGCTACTCTCCGAGGGCGCCTTCGCCGCTGGCATGGTGTTTTCCTACTTAAAATTGGTACACATTTTCTCTATCAACCCACACTTGGGGCCACTGCAAGTCTCACTAGGGCGCATGATAATAGATATCATTAAGTTCTTCTTCATCTACACTTTGGTACTCTTCGCCTTCGGTTGCGGCCTCAATCAATTGCTGTGGTACTATGCTGAACTGGAGAAGAACAAGTGCTATCATTTACATCCAGATGTTGCTGATTTCGATGACCAAGAAAAGGCGTGTACTATTTGGAGACGATTTTCAAAGTAATTTTAGTAAATCGGAGAATTCTACGAGAAACAAATAATGTAGTGAAATTAAATACATTTTTTCTTTGCAGCCTCTTCGAGACCTCTCAATCACTATTTTGGGCTTCCTTCGGTTTAGTCGATTTGGTGTCTTTCGATTTGGCAGGCATTAAGAGCTTCACGCGCTTCTGGGCACTGCTCATGTTCGGCTCTTATTCGGTGATCAACATTATTGTATTGCTCAACATGCTTATTGCCATGATGTCTAATTCTTACCAAATTATTTCGGAACGTGCTGATGTTGAATGGAAATTTGCCCGATCCCAACTCTGGATGAGTTATTTCGAAGATGGCGGCACTGTGCCACCACCATTTAATATTATGCCATCGGTGAAGTTGCTGCGCAAGACATTGGGCAAAGAGGGACCAAAGCGGACTAAAAGTTTTATGGTGAGTTTGGATCATTTGCAGACGGAAAGTGTAGAAGCTGAGTTAGTGGCTAGCTCCGGTTCTAGACGCACCCATTTTCGACTGATCCATGACCTTAGCACTACGTAAATAAGTCTGTTCTTCGCTAACCTAGCACCCAATAAGCACTTTGACAGCCCGAACTGTCCGGAAAGGGTTCAGTACCGGTGGAGATATCAATCGTAAGGTTTTGCATTATGCTGCGGCATTAGACTTCCAGTTCAGGCAGGATTTTTCAAGCGGAAGTATCTACTTTGAAATGAGCGGTAGATCCACTGATTTCCAGTGTCATTTCGGTTAAGGAAGTAATCATAAACAGGCAGATATTATGGACTCCCTTCCAAAAGCGTCCAGTTATTTGGTTCTGCTATTCGGCCGGCTTCTATCTCAGCTCGGATTGTCTGAGCTTATTGCATATCTTCCTTAGGAAATATTTTTAAATATTCACTTGGACTACAGATACTTTTAAATCTTTGTGTTTTGATTCAGGCGACAGCAGCGATTTTCACTAACCTACCGCATTTCGTACTAAAATTTCTTCCCGCCACGCCAATCAGTCAAACCCTTTTGACGACTGTTGATAGAAATAAATTACAGAGCATTATTAACAATTTCCCATCCTTAGAGAGCAACTGTGTACACTCGTCGGCTTGATGGGCTCTTTTCAGCTGATGGTCGATGCTGCTTTAGCGCGGCGCAGCAACTACGACAGTAGCAATCGGCGCCAATGGGTTGTGGAAAAATAAATAATTTAAATTTTATTAATTCACAAACACATTCATACTACAGATATTCCTCTCACACTTCCACTTTTCTCACTCTCCCACCTACAGCGCAAGACCAAGGAACGCTCGCAGGCATTGCATGACAAAGTCATGAAGCTGCTGATACGACGTTTCGTCACCGCCGAACAGCGACGCCGTGACGACTATGGCATAACCGAGGATGATATCATTGAAGTGCGTCAAGATATTAGTTCACTGCGTTTCGAGCTACTGGACATTTTCCAAACGAATCGCTTCAATGTACCAGATATTGAGAAGAAAACAGCAGGTGAGTAATAAACCAATGTGAAATGATGAAGTGAACTCAAAGGAATTTAAATGCTCGCCGTTTGTGCACAGCTGCGGCCGCCGGCACCAAGAAGGGTAAGGTGATGGAACGACGTATCTTAAAAGATTTCCAAATTGGTTTCGTTGAGAATCTGCAACATGAAATGACTGTCGGCGATGAGGGTAGCAAAGATATTTTCTCTTCGTTGGCGCGGGTTATCGGCAAGAAGAAGTCACTGAAGTCAGGGTAAGACGCCGCAGATCGTTGACCGAATACTCAAATGATACAAGTTATTTTGTTTTTGTTTTTTTTTTTCTCTTAATTACAGTGAGAAAGACTGGAATGCCATTGCTCGACAGAACACTATGAGCGCCGATCCGATAGGTTCCAAACGCTCGTCTATTCAACGGCACAGCCAACGCAGTTTGCGTCGCAGAATCATCGAACAAGCCAACGAGGGTCTCAAGATGAACCAGAATCAGCTAATTGGTGAGTACCAGCGGCTTAAAACTTCAGCTTTTTGCCATTCTATTAACACTCCCAGTGTAATTTGTTGTAAATTAATGGTCTCTTCCTGGACTTTTATAACTTTTTCAGAGTTCAATCCCAATTTGGGTGAAGTTACACGCGCCACACGTGTCGCCTACGTCAAATTCATGAAGAAGAAGATGGTTGCCGATGAAGATGGCGCTGCAGCGTCTTCCGCTGAAGCAGAAACAACAAGCGCTACCATCAAAGATGAAAAGATGCCCGCAGGTGTAAGTGCCTTCCATGAACTCAGCCAAACTCATATACTAAAATCTAAATTTTCTTCTATTTTACACAGTCTATGAAAGCAAAAGCAGATGACGACAAAGCTGATACCGCTTCAAAAGCCTCCAGCACAGATGCGAAACCCAAAGACGGCAAACCAGGTGATGGTAAGCCTACTGCACCAGCACCACCAAGTGATGGTAAGCCTGCTGCCCCCGCACCACCAGGAAAACCTGCCGCAGCTGGTACTACCAAGCCAGCTGATGCCGCGAAGAAAGATGATGCAGCCAAACCAGCCGCGGGTGCTGCAGCGAAGCCGCCAGTTGCCGGCGCCAAGCCAGAGGCAGCCGCAAAGAAAGATAACGCTGCTAAGCCAGCCGGAGGAGATGTCGCCAAACCAGCTGGTGCTGCCAAACCTGGTGAAGCTGCTACTGCCGCTAAGCCTGCAGTGGCTAAGCCAGGTGAAGCAACAAAACCGGAAGCCGCTGCCAAGAAAGAAGATGCCGCCAAGTCAGAAGCGGCAAAGCCGGGCGCTGTCGCAGGTGCCAGCACAACAGCTGGAGCAGTTAAAGGCGCTGCACCAACAGCGCCAGCTGGCGCTAAGCCCGACGCATCGGCAGCGGGTGGTGATGCGAAAGCTGCCGACGGCGCTGGACCGACGGCAACAAAAGCGGCAGGTGATGCGACGGGTACTAGTGGTGGCGCTGCAGCTGGTGCCGCCGGTGCGACGGCGAAAACAGATGACAAAAAAGCTGACGACAAGAAGGGCGATGAAAAGAAACCAGATGAGAAGAAACCGGATGATAAGAAAGCGGCGGCGCCTGCCCCTGCCAAGCCGGTTATCAAAGTGGGCCAAAGTAGTGCTGCAGCAGGTGGCGATCGTGGCAAATCGACTGTCACGGGTCGTATGATATCTGGTTGGCTTTAAGCTCTGAAAACAATAAGCTTAATAAGTAATTACATTCTGTGCTTTGTATGAGACAAATAAATTTATATTAAATTGAAGTCGTTTTAAGTGAAATAAAGAAAATATTACACAATTTTGTTGCATTTTTTAGTTTTGGCTACAAATTAGTCCGATCACATGTTGTGCCAATATCATAATTGCAAACGAAAACGATATTGGCCTTTATTTTCAGCACTCGCATCGATGTAGTGCTGCTTCTAGGTATGAAGATAAAGTTCCAAGTCTTGTCCCAGTCCTTACTATCGCACGCTCTGGAAACGTGAACACCTTTGTGAGTTAGCCAAGCCTTATGGAGCCTTGCGCCACGGCTAAGCAAAAGGGAGTCCATAGACATGTCCGGTTAAAAGGTTAACTAGAGTTTCTGCAGCGTTGTTTACAAGAAGTGCGACAGCGTGCGGACGTCGGTATTTAGGCAAGCAACCCACTACATAAATGTGCAGAAATTTTCAGTGCCTAACAGTACCAAAAGCTCCGTCAGAATCGAGAAGTACCCCTCCAAACCATTGGATACTAAACGGCGACCATTTATTGTGTGACTTCTTCTACGTAAAGCTAGGGAAAATAATAAGAGCTGCTGCACTACAAGGAACTACAACTTTTGGCCTATGGTGATGATATTCACGCCATGAGCTTCAATAGCCACGCAGCTTACTCTGTAGTCTCCATACCTGATGAGGAAGTGAAGCGAATGGATTTAGTAGAGAACGAGGACAAGCCGAAATATCTCCTGTTCTCAAACAAATAGGCATAACTTTGAAGCCGTAGATAACTTCGTCTGCCTTGAAACCAATATCATTACCAACAATAACAATGTCAGCCTTGAAATCACTCTTGCCAACAGGTGCTACTTTACCATCAATAGCCAATCGGAAAATTCTGTCCTCTCTTACTCCGGTGACGTAGATCAGCGAATCAAGCGAAATTGACTACTAGGGTAGGTCGTGTCTTCCGAAGAGCTGAAAACAAACGAACTTTGAAAATATTCGATGTGGTGGAAGCAGGAGGAGGACATCCATTTCGTTGTTAAAGTCAGTTGTCAGCTTTAGCTGCGCGTATCTTCGGCTTTATTGTTTATTATTATATTTTAACAAAGAATAATAATTTGCTTTCAAATTGCGGTCATTCACTGTAACACTCAACCCCTCCGAGTGTTGACTGCAGTTCACTCTTTTTGCTGGAAACACATCGAGATGCCCACCGCAATTTGAAGGATGAGCTCGGTCAAAAATCACTTCAGAGTCAATAGCGAATCTAAGGCAACTTAAAGGTTATTACTTTTTACTCGGCTTGCCACTAAGCTACACCAAGATTTCTGTTTCATATGTGAATGGGACAGTCGGCCAAAGGATCTACATTACATTACAAGCGGTCAGACTGCTCCGTTCGACAAACACTAAAGCCAGGTTAAAGGAATGTATGGCATAAGCCATTGGTATACACCAAAGACATTTTGTTTCCAGCACTGTTTATTTTATTGGGTCAATGAAAAGCTTAATCAAGGCATTAAATACCGCGTACATACTTCAGAACTCCACAGGTTAAGAGAAGTAAAAAATGAGGGAAGGTATTTTGGTTGAGCCACAGATTCGATATATTTTGAAAGACGAACGATTTGATGGCACCCTCACTGGTATTGCTTCTCTTGTTAGAAATATGCTGTAGTCACAAAATGGACTGTATTTCCTGCAACCCGAAGACTCGAGGGGAAACTCTTGGTATTTTTCCTCAATCACACTCTTAAAGACGTTGATAGAAGACGTTGATAGATTTTTGACCAAATGTTCTATGTGTGTAGCTTCGCTAGATAATCAGATAGATTGAATTTTCTCTTCTAACGGAATATGTTTGACCTGCACTAAACGCACTCGCTCCACTCCGTTCGGAACTGCACGTTTAGCGGGGTAGAACCTTTTTACTTTTTCTTTACTGGGAAGACACCGATGACGCGATTATAGCCGAGTTAACAACAGTGCGCCATTCATACCGTTTCGCCGTTTTGCGTCATGTATGTCCTTCTCCACTTAACCCTTCCAAACGAGTGGAGATCTTCCACCTCCTCTACTTTCACCAGCGGGTACTGCATCAATGCAGGAGTAATCTTATCCATCCGGACCACCTAGCCAATGTAGTTGCTGCCTCTTCATTCACTGAGTTATGTCAATTTCGTCGTATATCTCGTACAGCACATCATTCCATCGGCTGCGGTATTTGCCGTTTTCAATGCGCAAAAGAACATAAACCTTACGCAAGAGACCTCTAGCGCTGACTCATTAGATGGTAATGATGAGTTGCATATTATGGTTTTTGTTCATCGGGAGAGGACTTTACTCAGTACAAAGTAGCACCTGTTGGTAAGACTGATTCTTCCTTGAATATCCAGGCTGACGTTGTTGTTGTTGTTAATAATGGTTCCAATATAGAGGAAATTATCTACGACTTTAAAGTTATGACTGCCAGCAGCGACTTGTGAACCGAGCTCCGGATGTGATGACTGTTTGTTTGATGGCAGTAGATATTCGCGCTTCTATCCAGACAGAGAGAGAGAACTCACGGTTGTTGGCTCCAATGATGTGAATGTTATTGGCATACGACAGAACTCTTACACATTTATATAAGGCTTTACCTTCTCAGGAATATATATTAAAGAAGTCCCACGATAAGGAATTACCTTGTCTGAAACCTCGTTTGGTATCGAACATTTTAGAGGGCTCCTACTCGATCTTGAAAAAGCTTTAAGTATTGCTTAACGCCAGTACACTCAGTCTTAGCCTTAGACTACTGAACGACGAAAAGACAGTCTAACGATCCGCGGCTTTTAAATGATTTGTGGTTTGGGGAATGTCTGATCGCGTGATTCAGCATAAGAACCAAAATTTCTTGTTCAGTATTAAATCTTCATTTATAAATGCATATGCTATAATACGAGGAGTAACAATTAAGTAATGAGACTGATTCCATAAAAACCGTACATCTCAAATTATTCTACAACTCTGCGATCACCTTCACGGTAATCCCCTTGGTCAGTTATACAACGATTCCAGCGCGTTTTCCATGCTTCATAACAATTCTGGCACGCTTCGACTTGGAGGACCGCTGGTACCCTTATCACGGCCGCCTGGATGTTCTCAATCGACTCAAAATGGGTTTCCTTGACCACAGATTTTGTTCTAGAGAACAGAAAAAAGTCGCAGAGTGACATATTGGGCGAATAAGACAATTGTTTCAACACGGTGAGAATGATGCCGGGAGAAGGGAAGGGGCCATTTCACGGTCGAAGGGTTACCACAATCGCGGCAATAAAATCAGTCTCATTACTTAATTGCCACACCTAGTATATTTATTCAAAAAATTACATTCCCATATTCTGTGTGCTTTGTTTCACAACATTTCCAATGTTAACCTTTGCAACATGTTGCTAGCCCCTCCAATGCCAATCCACCTGTTGCAAACTCTACGTGTAAATATGAAGGCGACAGCAGCAGAAGCACAATTTTCAGCAGCAGAAAAATAAAGTCAAGTTTAAACTAATTTCATAAATATTTATAGCTGAAAATATTAAATTCTTAAAAGTTCTGATCTAAGCTGCCAGAGCAGGGCTTATCAACACAAATACGTCACTGTTGCTGTAAGAAAGTCGCATGTAAAACCACGAACATACCAACCGTATATGATTACAAAAATAACTACAATTGTGACAACGGAAATGAAGGGACGCCCACAACAAAATCAACATACTCACACACACAGATAAGTGCAAAAATCAGCAGGAAAAAGTTTGCAGCTTCCAGAATATGTTACAATACATGCAAATGTATCGATGATGTTGCTTAAATGCTTGCGTATGTATGCGCGCATGTATTTACAGTGCAATAGCGGCTAAAAGTTGATATCTCCTGTTGACGCTACAAAATATTGGTGTTGTCATTATTGCTCTTATCATCATCCCTAACACTTTTGAAGCACTTTTGCTGCCGCTGCTGGGTGGGTATGTATGTATGTATTGGTTATGTTGCTGCTACACAACAAGATGCGCTTTGTTGCCTTGCGCTGGCTTGCCTTGCCTTGCTTTGCCTTGCTATCATCATTGGCCTGTCGGCGATGGCTTTTGTCTTTTTCGTATAAAAGGACATGCGTTTTAACAGTTATCAAGCATAATTTCGGTGAACGTGGTAAGGCAAAGTACGCCATAGACAGCCAAAGCAACAGGCAACGAGTGCAACAAACGAAAAAGTGTGAATTCCTGTTTGAAAATTTCTGACTTTTGCCAGTCATTCACTCATTCTCTGTGAATCTACAACACACACACACACACACACACACACACACACACGAAATCCTTTTGCACACATTTGCTCGATACTTTTTGTTTGTCTGCAATTAGCGACGGTTATTTTTAAAAATTTCACAAAGAAAATACACATTTTAATTCAAGGCTCTAATTTTTTTCTCTTTTTCGTTTATATCCGACTTTTTTTAACGCTTTCGGGTAGTTTGGTCACACAGCAAAATACAAAAGATTTGATCAGAAATGAAGTCTTTCTACTGCTTGGATGTTATCATTTGTTCGACAGTTGTTGTGGTCGCTTTAGCTGGTTTCACCGAGGCGGGTAAGTGTGACAATGTGAAACACAAACAAAAAAAAAAAATTCAAAATGTTTTAAGTAAAAAACTTTAAAGTGCTTTGTGCATAGAAATTGGAAGAGATAAACGAAAGTTGTGAAAATTCTGGAAAAACGAATAATGCAAATAGTGTTATACAAGAACAGGGACAGAAGATCAAATGGTCATAATCTGCTGATTTCGCATTCAACAATAAGCTGGAGTTTGTAATTAAAAAAAAAAACATAAATATTGTAGTGAAGTTTGTTTTAATTCATTTTTATGCACCACTCGCGGAGATAGAAACCCTACATTATAGTAGTGCCATAAATAGAGAGAAAACTGCATAATTCGACTTTGCTTAAAATGATTTATAATAAAAAAATTATTTATTTATTTTTTTATTCATTTATTAATTTGTTAATTTATTGATTTATATATTTATTAATTTATTTATTTCTTTGTTTATTTATTTATTTTCTTATTTATTTATTTATTTATCTTTTTATTTATTTATTTATTTGTTTGTTTATTTATTTATTTTCTTATTTATTTATTTATTTATCTTTTTATTAATTTATTCATTTGTTTAATTATTTATTTATTTATGTACTTACTTCAGATATTTATTTAAATATTATTTATTTATTTATTTATGTATTTATTTATTTCAGTTATTTATTTATTGATTTGTTTATTTCTTTATTTATTAATAAATTTATTTATTTGTTTATCTATTTATTTATTTATTTATTTATTTATTTCTTTAATTTATAATTTCTTTATTTATTAATAAATTTATTTATTTGTTTATCTATTTATTTATTTTTGTATTTCTTTAATTTATAATTTCTTTATTTAATTATTTATTTATTTACTTAATTCAGATATTTATTTATTTGTTTATTTATATCTTTTTATTTATTTATTTATTTATTTATTTACTTACTTCAGATATTTATTTATTTATTTAATTGTGTATTTACTTATTTCAGTTATTTATTTATTTCTTTATTTATTTATTAATTTATTTATTTGTTTATCTATTTATTTTTTTATTTATTTAATAACTTATTAATTTATATTTTTATTTAGCTCTTCATTTATTTATTTATTTTTCATTAAATATTTATTTTTTTATTATTTATTTAATCTGGGAATAAAACAAATAAAACAATGTAACATAGCACATTAATTAACAAAAACTGGAAAGAAATTCAAAGATTTTTCCACAGTTTACAAGCCTTATTTAAATTAATCTAAAATATTTATTTTTAGTAAATAATGTAATTAGTTTAATTTAAAATCCATTTCTTTTACAAGATGATGATCTTTAAACTTTTTTATTAATTTCTAATAAATTATAATAAAAACAATAAAAAAATAATTTATTTTTTCAAAAGAAAATCTTAAAATGTATAAATCCTAAAAATTATATTTTTAGAATTTTAATTTTATTTTGCATACAACAACTTTTACGACGCAGCCTCAGCTGAGCTCCAACTTCAATTTTGGTAGTTTAATAAAAAAAAATATTCAAGGATTCTGTTCTTCGTAAAGTAAGAAATATTTCTTTTTTATGTAGTTAAAATTAAATTAATTTTTTTTTTAATTTGATTAATTAGTTTTAAGTTTTTAATTTTTTTTTCAGTAACAAAATTAAATTTAAATTTCAGCACAAAACTAATTTTATTACTTTTTAATGCAATTTACATTTTGCTACGACAAACAGATTACAAATATATACATTTAAGTAAACGAAAAGAGAATGAAAAAAGAATTAATATAAAAAAATTGAAAAATTAGAATACTACAAGGACTAAACTCTCTCGAGAGGCATATCTCCAGATATAAAGTTATTGTCAAGTTTACTCTTTCTTCGAAAGCAATTTAAATTTCTTTTATACAACTCTGACTTCAGCTCTTCCTGCATGAAGTATTTGAAGATGTCTAAGCATCAATTTGATACAAATTTCTTGACTTATTCCTGACTTATATATACTTGGATATTGGCGCCTTGTAATCGTTAAAGCGACTTTCGACTTCCATTTTGTGGTGTGTGCCTTTTTCCCCAATAAATGGAGGTATTTTGAGGAGCTTTAATGTCATGTCAGAAATACTTTCAGAGAGCTTGACATTTCCTGTCGAGGAGCGTCCAAAATTAGAAAATGTGTCTCCCTATAATTTTGAAAGTTAGTCGGTATGAATTGTAAGATATTTTTTTTTAAGGAAAAACAAAGTTTTTTTTTTTTTAATTTTTGATATAATATTTTAAAATTACACTTTCGAAAAATTTTGTAAAATTCTCATACAATTTTTTTTTTTTTTAATCTGTAAAGTTAATTGATTATTGGATGTCTGCACGCTGACAGCAAAACTCAATACACAATCGTCTGAAGAAGCAAATAAAAAAATTATATTAAGACCAAAAAAATAGAATACAATTAATTAAAAACAAAACAAAAAGGGAAAGCAAGTAAAAAATTATAAAGAAAAAACATTTTTTCTGCATTTAATAGGTTTTAATTAAATTTTATGAAAAAAAAAATTAAATTTACAAGGCGATATCCCTTTTGAGTGCGCTCCATCGGCGGCAAGCGTGCTTGCCTCGAAGTGGTAATTTGAGTTCCTCATAGCGAAAAGAGTATTCAATAGTATTTGATTAGTTTTCGATCTGAAATACGTTCATAATGATAACCCTGTGAGATGGTGCGTGAACTAGGGGTTTCTCATTTCAAAAACCTTGCCTTTTTCGACGAATTTCCTCTCTATGCCGCATTATACTTAGATGATATTCTTTATTCACCTTCAAATCTTCCAGCATTAACCACAAGTGTACAATACGATGATAATCAAAGATTAAAGTCGACATTGCTTTTGAATGTCTTGACGTGTTTCTATTCTTCTCTTTTTCGGCTCAGTTGAAAACCGCCGTTGCGATGCTTTTTGACTGTTTTGCGTATCAAACTGAAAAAGCGATGTTTCATTAACAGTCCCAATGTGTTTTATGAGTTTTATGTTGAACTTAACGTGGTCTTCAAAGTATTTCATATAATTTATGTTATGCTGATTTCGTTTCGGTTATTTTGACATAAAGATGCTCCACGATGCTCGAAAATGTCGATAAAATAATTGAAATCTTCCAGTCATCGTCATGTTTCGATGGCTCAGGAGCTAAATATTTCGCTAAAAAAAAACTTTGTTGCCACCTGAAAAAAGTTGGATGCCACACGAATAAATGAGAAAAAACTCATAGACCGAATTTCCATCAAAGAATCGCAGCTGAATCGTAACAAAATCGAGCAATTTCTGAAACCAATGGCGATGAAAAGTGAAACACATATCAATATGAAACAAAAACAGTCGTGGTCGAATGGCGCAAACGAGCTCCAGATTGTGTTGTGTATTAGTTGTGATTGGCAAGTTGTCGTCCTTTAAGAGCAGCTAGCCTACGGCCAAATTCGGACCTGTACTGTCGCCGCCAGAGCTTTCTCAGTTTCAAAGGTTCACGCTCTCTAAAGCGAAGCCATTCTTTTTATATCTTAACGATTACAGCCAACTCAAGCAACACCATTTTTCGATTATTCAAAATGCTTTTTTGGTTTTTTATATTTTCTGGTGCTTGGCAACAAAATGCGGGGTTTTTTTTACACTCTTCAAACTATTGCTGCGCTTGAATGGTATTTTTTCCCATAAAATATATATGTGCTAAATTTTCAGCACAGAGACTTTAGAAACAAAGATTCATAGCTTTAAAACTTTTGCCGATCACCAAGAAAGTAGTAGAGATGAAATTTACATAAACTATGAAATTTCGAAATTTTAAAAGTCGAAACATGATTTTCTAGCCCTCCGCATTCATTGTAGAATAAAAAGATTTACTTCCACATGGAGTTTAGTTCTTTTGAATATATCATTCTTCACTTTGAAGCATGAAATAATTACACTAAACCTAAACTATGCATTAAGACCACAAGATTCCCGGAAATTTTTTTTTCGATATTCGCGGTTTGGTTCATCACGAATTCGTTACAACGGAACAGACGGTCAATAAAGCGTATTGTTTAACCCTTACGAGGCGTAAACATCCATCGTAAACGGCTGGAATTTAGGTCGAACAATTCTGGTTTTTTCATGGCGATTATGCGCCATCGCAACGAGCTGTAGTTGTGAACGTTTTTAAAACCAAAAACTCGTACGATGTCATCGATCAACCACCGTATTCACCTGATTTGTCACCATGGCACACTCTGCGGAACCCATTTCGACTTGATTGAGGCTATGAAAGGAAATTCGCAGAGGGAGCTCAGGTCGACTGATTTCAACAGCTGTTGCAAACAAAGTTGTTTGGCTGATCGCTCTCGTTTTTGGCATAGTAATTAAGGGCAGTGTTACCAAGTTAACAAAAAAAATGTTGAAAAATCTTCAGCGCGGGCAGTTTAAATGACAATTTCCGTCAACTTGTGGTCTTAATGTAAATATCAAACCTTACATAAAATTTAAAATCAGGAAATTAAAAATTTTACTTAACAAAATCCGAAGCCCACTTTTAGTGTTACGCCACCATCAAAATCGAAAATTAGGAGCTCAACCAAAATAGAAAACGTGTTTTGATAATATTAATCTTGCAATTCATTCATCATAAATTCGAAACTAATTTTGTATCAACCAACAACTACCACCAAGGAAATGCGCTACTAAAATTGCCAAGCAACAACTCAAAAATAGTATGACAGAGGTTTGCCACAAATCCACGTGAATCATTAAGAAATACAATCCTTAAACAAATATCTCTTCATTTAGATATGTACTGTTAATATATAATATATGTATATACATATGAATGTATGTATGTGCATTATATGTATATGTAAAATGTATGCTTAGAGCAGCATAGAATATTAGTAAACATCAATCGCACGGCAGGCTTCCAAACCAAAGCAAAGACTCACTACGCCGGCAACGCTTCCCTAACATCTTCGCCCACACAAAAAGAAGGCGGAAAATC